TAATTCTTTTATCGTATGTTTTATAAAATCACTTCCAAATTCAATTCTTATTCATTTTCATCATTTCTCATATTTCATTATTTCAATTCATAACACATTATTGTTCTTATCAATTCTAATTCATATTCATCTCTTATTATTTCATTATCATGATATTTTATATTTTCTTTAATCTTCTTCTAATTTCTTATTAGTATTTTGTTTTTATTTATTCTATCTTCTTTATTAATTTTTATTCTATTCTTCTTCATATTAATTAAATGTTCTATTTGTTTAATTTGATGTTTTATTAATAATATATTCATCATTGTATTATTTATTTTTCATTATTCTTTTAATTTGATGTAATTCATGTTAATTAATAATTATTTTAATTTATTGATTCTTCTTCTTAGATTATTAATTTCATCATTTGAATATCTTATAAAATTATTTTATTGATATTTAGAAATATAATATGATATTTTATATATTTCTTTTTTGATATCTTCTATATTTTCACATTCACACTTCAATTCTTTATTCATATATTTAATTATTTCTTTTTCTTTATTTTATTGTATTATTTCTTTTTATTTTATTTATTTCATCTTTCATATTGTTTATCATTATTTATTTTAGTTTATTGAATTGATGTATTTGTTCATATATTTATTGTTATTCTATTTTCTTTTTTCTTTCATCTATTTCTCTTGTTCTTTTAATCATCTGTATATATCCTTCTTCTTTATTATTCTTTCTTCTATTATCTCTTTAATTTCTATAATATCTAATTTTCATTTTAATATTTATTATATTTATTCAATAACAATAATAACTTTTATCTTCTTTTCTTCTATTTCTGATTGTTCATTTATTCTTTATTATTTCTTCTATATTGATATTCTCTTCATTTATCTTCTCCAGTTCTTCTAATGTCATTCTTAGTAATTCTTCTCTCATGATTTGAATTACTCATTCTTGTATTTGTTTTAGTTTCTTCCTGCTTTCTTCTTTGATTGAATCTACTTCTTCTCTTCTATAATTATTCCACTCGATCCACTTCTTTTGTACTTCTGTTTTTGTCAGTGCTATTGTTTTCTTCTTCTTCACTTTGTTAAAATTTACATCTTTGATATCTTCTTCTTTGACCTTGTTTTCTTTTTCTTCTGACGGTTTGATAATTGATTTTCTTTTATTGTTTCAATCTTATCATTTTCTTCTTTCTATTTCTCAATTTCTTTTATCTTTCTCTTTAATTTCTTTTTGTTCTTTCATCTTTGTTATTTCTTCTTCTTGTTGTTTGATTTTATCTTTTGTTTTATTGTTTTCTTCTTCTTGTTTATTTCTCTTATTTATTTCTCTTTTTCTTTCTTTAATCTATTAGTTTCTTCTTTCTTTTGTTTCTTTTGTTTCTCTAAATTCACTTTCAATGTTTGTATTTGTTCTTATTTCTGATACATTTCTATCTGGTGTTTACTCTTCTTTCTATTTTATTGTCTTCTTCACTTCTTCTTTCTTTTGTATTTCTCCTTTTCTTCTATTTTTCTTTCCATTTCTTTTATTTCGCTTTCATGTTCTATTTCTTTTTTCTCTCATATCTTTCTATTATCTCTTCTTCTTTATCTCTTTCTTGTTTTTTATTCTTTATTCTTTTCTTTAAACTCTATGTGTATTTCTTCTTGTTCTTCTTCTTTATTTTAAACTTCTCTTTCACTATCTTATTTCTTCAAATCTCTTCATCCATTCTTGTATTATTTTCTTGTTTTCTTTTGTCTTTCTTCATTGTCTTTTCTTATAATATCCTTTATTTTTATATCTTTTACTTTGTTTATTCTCATAATAATGATTAAACATTTTACCTGTATTATAGTATTTGTGGTTATAATAATTACTTCTCATTTTATTATAAATGTGATTATTTGAGAATGTACTATGATATTTATAAATATGATAATTATTATTAAAGTGATTATGGCTATTATCTTGTTGATAGTGATTATAGTTATAACATTGATAATGTCTTCTAAATCTATTTGTTTGTATATAATTATTGTATATGATTTTAATGGTATTCTTGTGTTGTAGAAATAAATTTAATCTTATTTTTGAATAAAAAAAAAAAAAAAAAAAAATAAAAAAGAATTTACCATTTATAACAATCTTTTTCACTATTTCTTGGATGTTCTAAAGCACATAAATTATTATTCCAACATTTATCATCACATCGATACATATGAGAATCACCTCTCATATGTTCATACCATATATCATGGAGAGTTCTATTAGAGTGCATTCTTTGTGCTAATGAAATCATACTATTTGGACTTAAATCATTAAGATTATATTCTTGAGTTGCATTGTAATTAAATTTCCATTGAACATCAGTTTTATTTAAATCAACATAATAATTAATATAACTTTGAATAATATTTCCTTTAATATCATATAATCTAATACTTGGATTAATACCAAGATAAGTATCTAAACTAGGTGAAAGATAACCAATAACTGTTTTCTTTTTATCTTTACTTTGCATAATTCGATATGTATCTAAATGTAAATGACCACAAATCATTCCAATTGTAATATTTGAATATTGTGTTATTAAATCAATTAATTTATCATCATATTGATTATACATTTGTTCTGACCAATTGTATCTTTCTGAAACTCCTGGACAAATATGTGCTGCAACTATTACTTTTTTATTTTCTTCTGTATATTTATCCATTGTTTCTTTAAACCATTTAAATTGTTCTATTGGATCTGTATCATTTTCTGTTAATTTATTAAATGTATAATATAAAACTGTATTTAATACTACTACATATGTTTTTTCTTCTTCTCCTGTTCCAAGTATTTCTTTTGTATAATATCCTCCTCTTTTAAATGTTTCTAATGCACTTTGTGGAAGCCATCTAGAATATTTCTTTGCTGCATATCTAAATAATGAACTTTTACTTTCATCTTGATAATTTTCTGGAAGTGCATCATGATTTCCTAACATTGGAATAATTTCAAATCTATTAAATTCTTTAAGAAATTTAGTTGCATTATCAAGTCCTTCTTTAAGATACATTTCATCATATTCTCCTAATTTTCTTGGAAGAATATCTCCATTATAAATTAGTATTTTATTATGTTTTTTATCACTTGATTGATAATTGATAAATTTTGGAACTGATTTAAGTACATAATCTGTTGTATCACATGAATAATCTCCTATTTTCCTTGCTGTTCCTTCTCCACTTCTACAAACTGTATTTGGATCACTTCCTTCTTTATAATTCCCATCAAAATGAACATCAGTTACTTGCCAAATTTGATATGATGAAACAATACTAATAAGTAGTGTAATAATAATCATCTTTCTCTTTTATTTATTTCTTTATTTCTCTTTATATTAGTTCTCTTTTATTTTAGAACTTTCTTTTTGATGTAGATTCTTCTTCTTTTTTTATTTTCTTTCTTTTTTACCATTAAATTATTTTTTCACTTTAATTATTCTTCTTCTCTGCTTTCGTGTTTACTTCTTTCTAATTAATTGTTATGAAAAAGAGAAGTGTTCTGAAAAGTATTTGATAAAGTACTTCTTCATTCATACTCTCTTCCATTCCTGTCTTCATCATCCAATTCTATTGTTTCCTTTTAAGTCATCTCTTATATTCTCTTACTTTTTTATTGTTGCTTTTATCCTTAACAACCTATCTTGACAATACATCAATCACTTTCTTATTTTCATTCAATACTCTACTTGCTGATTATCATTTCTTTTCTATCACATCTGTATTGCTAAAGGAGTTAAGACGATTAAACCTACACAAACACATTCTGACCTTCAACCACAAAGTAATTGAAAATTTAATGAAAATACCACAGACGATTGTTGTGTGTTTTGAAGAAAAATAATATTGAAGCCACAAATGAGTATCAATGAATTGAAGAAGAAAGATATCAAAATAATCCAATGAATCATTAACAAACAAATAAGCTAAGAATTAGAAAACATCACCAAGTTAAATTATTCTTTTTCATTATAAGTAAAACATAAATAATACAAACATTTTCAATTGTAATTCTAATTATTCAAATTGATTTGAAATGATTAAGTATTCTTTTCAAATAAATGGACTTATTATTCTATTCTATTTGAATCTTCATTTATATTATGGATGGATATTCTCTTTATGAACACAAACATTAATTAAAGTAATGTTAGATTAATTAAATAAAATGAGTATATTAACATAGATTGTCAACATTATTACATCACATTTTGTTATAATGAAAATCAATACATAAAAACAACAAATAGAAATGAAGATAAATGAATTGAGTTATTATCATTTCATTGAATATTCATAGAGTATATTTTTCACTTATTAATGAATATCCATATGATTGTAATAAAACATGAATTCATAATGAATCAATACAAATGTAATTAATTAACAATTGATAATCTTTTCATTGAATACAATGAATAAGATTCACAAATGATATTAATATTTTTTGATTCAAAGTGTTTTAGAGTAATATTTCACAATTTGGTTGATTATTCATTTATTCTACACTTTATTCTTTCATTTTCATAAGAGTTTCTTTTGTTTGACCATCTCATCAATTTTTAAACACTTAAGTTGTTGTTCAACATGAATAAGATACAAGAAATAACACAGAATGATAAGATAATACATGATAAAATAACAAAGAAATATAAAAGAAGTAATAAACAAGAGAGATAAAAGATAAAACAAAGAAGTACAGAAGAAATAAAAGAAATAATAAAAAGAAAATATGAATGATGTTTAAAAGAGAAGAATAAGAAAGAAGAAGAATGAAAAGGATGAAGTAAAAAGTCCAATAATAAAGAAAACACATAAAGAAGAATAAAAGAATAAAAGAATGATGTACAATTTATCTGGATGTTATTATTTAATAAGTAAATGATGGACAATTACATTTTCATCAGAAATAAGCAGCTAAGAAACTAAAACATTTTTTTACCAATTAAGAAAATGATAGATGAAGAAGGAAAGGTTATATTTGAAGAAGAGAAAAATATATTGTAAAAGAAGAAAATGAAGAAAAGAAATTAGTATTTAATGAAGAAGGGATTCCAATAGAAGATAAAAGAGAAGATAAAGAAGAAAATAAAAGAAGAAGGAATTCTAATGAAAATGTTGTGATGAATATTATTAATGAATACTATAATAAATAAGAAGATAAGGAAGGGAAAGGGATTAAACCAATAATTACAAAAAAGACAAAAAGAAATAAACTTAATAGTCAACAATATAGATTAGTTCAATTAAGAAATGAAAAAGGAGAAATAATTAGAATAGTAGATAATGATGAAATAATTAAAAAACATGGAAATCCAATGTATTTATTACTTTGTTCATATTTAACAAAATATAATAAGAAACAACCAAAATACAAATATCTTATTATTGGGAATAAAAAAATGTATTCATGAAGATTATGATAAAGATAAAACATCCTTGTATTAACAAAAGAAGAATTTTTTGAAAATATTCGACGATTTCAATATCATTTTTAACAAAATAATTTAATATCATAATAAATTAAATATCTAAGAAATTTAATAGAAATAAAAGAATATGTAAAATGTCAAATAATCTATAAATGATTGAATAAGATAAAATAAAAGAATATACAAAAGATAATAACTAAGAAATAAGAATACAATAATAAAGAAAGAAATAATAAAAGAAAAGATAAAAGATGATATAAATTAGAAATAAAATAAGAAAAAATTAAATAATGAATAGATGATTGTTAATTATAGGTCTTCAATATAAAACACAGAAACTCTCTCATTTATTTCTTGTTTCTTTTTTAATGATATTTGCTATTTCATCATATAAAATAAGATTTCTTTATTCAATAAATAATGCATTTGTTTTCATCCAAATAATGAAATTCACCTTTAATTTCATTTCTATTAACTTGTTTATCAAATAAAATGATATAATCAATATTCTTTACAATAACATACTATTTCTATTTATTCTAAAACATCCCATTCAACATTCTTTTGTTATTAATATGAATATTCCTATATTTTGTGATTAAGAATACCATCATTGATTGATTTTTGTATATTATTTCATTGTTTGTATCTACTATATTAAATCCATCTTTTTTCTATCATTTGTAATGAATTGTCCATTGGTATCATGTTGAATAACACAAATTATATCAATAAGATACTCTTCATCAAATGAATATTCTCTTAATGATATTGATTTAATTAATTCGTATTGTTCATGTGATATTTTTCATTTCTTATTAACAACATTTTCTATCATTCTAAATATTATTTCACTCTCTTTTCTGAAAATTCTGTATTTTCAATTAACTCATCTAAATTAATTCTAGTATTATTAATGAAGTTATCAATGATATTCTCATGTGATGTATTGAAATGTTCATTTAATATCATTTTGATTTGTTGATTAAATTCATATAAAAAATCATCAACTTTTATTTGTGGAAATTGTTTGCTAATCAAATTCCCTCTAAGAATAATTTCTAATTCTTTTTGTTCACTGTTTAATGGAATTTGTGTGAATTTAGTTTTACCTGATGATGAAATATCAATATTCATCCAATGTAAAATATCTGGTAATGGAATTCTAAAATATGATAAATGTGTGATGATTGATGGTAATTGAAACACTATTCTCATGACATTTTTGATATGAAAAAAATTAGATAAAGTTGAATATAAGGAATAAATTCAGGATTAACATCAACATCAATGTAATATTCATTGTTAATAATATTTGTTCGTAGAATAACAAATTTATTATTAAATTGATATAATTCATATTTTTGTGTATCAATTTTAATTTGGTTGATTCTTGAATGAATGAAATATTAATTGTTTTATATTTTGTGTCAATTGAATTAATGAAATGAGTTGATTGTCTCATAGTATTTGTGTTTCTATTATTCATATCTTATAATTTATATTCTTTTCATGTTTTAATGATTTTAATTGAATTGTTAATTCATCATAACATAAGAACAACATAATCATTCAACATAAATTGTGAATAGAGATGAATCATCAAATGAAAATATTATTATAATGTTAATTGATGATACATTAGTTGTATTTGGTATTAAGAAATCATATATTTATAATGTCATCACTTCTAATACTATATTATTTGAAAATAAAACAAGAATCAATTGAAAAAGTTAAATGAAAAGAATACACAAAGAATTAATATTCACAATATCTAAATTATCACTAAAATGTTCAATTCATGTAATTGATTATCAACTTAATATTTATTCTATATTAATAATTTATAATTCTCTTCTTGTTGATCAGATTAATTCTAAATGTACAACATTTCATTTTAATTATATGAATGATTATAAGTCATCAACAATAAATATTTGACATATTAAATTATTAGAGGAATAAATATTATTTAATTTTAAAATGAAAGAAATCATCATTAAATGATAAATAATAATTTTATAAATAAATAAGTTGTTTAACACTCTTTATTTTGATTTATAATAGTGAACATATAATTAAATAGAATGAACATGATAATTAAATAATGAATAATATTAAATGAAATATGAAATGTTTTTATTAACATTCAAAATAATAAACAATAATTAAATAAGAATAATCAATTCAAATAATTAATTATTTAGTTTTTATTCAAACTACTTTATATTGAATTTATTGTATTCTTATTTGATTGATTGCCACTCAAAACATTTATTTGGTATTCTTTTATTTTTTCTTAACTCTTTTTCACATCCACATTCTTTAAAATAACGATTTTCAAATGGTGTAATTAGTGATTGAATAGTAATTGATTTTAATGATGTACATTCATAAAAACAACTAATTCTTATGTTATTGATTCTTATTGGTAAATTAATTGATATCAATGATGACATTTTTCAAACCAATACCTTCTAATTCAATGATTAGTGTTGTGATTTTAACAGTTGTTAATGACAAACATTCATTAAAACAATTATTTCCTATTTTAATAACTGAGTATGACATATTAATAGATGTTAATGATGTACAGTATTTCAAACTTTCATCTCAATTTCACTAGTTGATAATGAAACAGTAAATGATTTAATAAAATGCATTGAATAAAATGCCATTCTACTTTCCTAACTGTTGTTGGAATGATAAATTTGTTAATATCTTTCTTTTTAATATTTATTCCATTTATTACTTCTAGACTTAGTGGTATTTCAATACTAACTAATATTTCATTAATAAATATTCTTTACTTATATATTTTCCATTTTCTATATAATAGATATTAATCTTGTACTCTTTAAAACAATTAATCCCTATTTTATACTTGTTATTGATATACTAATTCTTTTTTTACTGAATAAATTTGAAAAACACTCCATGTGATTTAACTTCTAGTGGTATTATATCTTCTTACTCCTTTCTATTTTCTATATTTTTACATTTATTGCCTCATTCATTCTCTTTTAAATATATTGGATAATCTACTAAATACCATATTACTTATTTAATTGTTTCATCATTTTTATTATAAATATGAAAGTTTCAATATTAGTAAATAATTTTCTTGAATGTTATTTAATGGAATTGGATTAAAATGAAATCATTCCATATTTCATTGAAATCTTTTAATTCCAATTTCTAAATTAATAAAATTATTAACACCATTAAAATACTTTGGTGTTATCATTATTTCATTACATCCTATTCTCATTATTGATTTATTGTTTCTTGTTGTAGTTTATTTAGTTTTTATTTAAATTTGACATAAAATAATTTTAAGATTAATTAGAATTGTATTTTCTTTTTACTTCTACATTTTCAAAATCTAAATAAATTTGAAGGTGTTATCAGAAAACCAAACACCTCAAATGAAATCAGGCTTTAACCAATTAGTTATCTTCTTTCAGGTTTTGCCTTTATTGGGATAATTCTCTATTCAACGCTTATTGTGTTGTTATTTAATACTTATAGGAACGATTATTGAGGGATGGTATGATTTATTTGTTATGACCTAAGGTTAGTTATTTATTACAGTGGTAGTCTTATTTATTGACGTGCAACAAGTATATTTGTTAATAATAATTCTGACTCGAATAATGGGGTGCTGTCAAAAGAAAATAGTTTCTTAAGAGCTTGTCAATGCCAAAGAAAATGAAACACAGTCATTTGCCATTGATGTGTTTTTCTTAAAATACATTTTAATAATAACCAATTTTAATATTCATTAATTTTAAATTAACGCTTAGATACCAGTTTAAATAAATAAATCATTCAATTTGAGAATGTCAGAAAGAGCATCATCACTAGAAATAAAGAGTTTGCAGAAACTGATTCTTTCACCCTCGACATTTTGAAAACACAAATATTAATTTATTGTTTTTTCTTTTAAAAGTCAATGAAAAATGATGCATTATATGAAACAAAAAAAAGAAATTAAATATGAATAATTATGATTATGTTTTCATATGTTGAGAAGTGAGTGTTTCAATTTCTTCAACATATTTTATTTCATTTAAATTATTGTTTTTTTTCAATCATTCTCTTAAAGAATTCATCATTAAGTTGTTATGATTTTTATTTTGAAATAAATGAATATTAAAATTCATCATTATTTATGTTGTTATTTTATGTTTGACATATCAATAACACTTGGTTATGGCTTATCTCATTTATCATCAACATTGTTTAAATAATCTTTATTGATAACACATCATGTACTCAACTCAAAAGTATCAATGATAAATACATTGGATCGTAATAAATAATAATACTACCATCATAATAAACAATGCCTCATAATAATCACTGATAATAAATAATAATCACTTTGCCTTTGGCGGTGCGTTATCTCACAAAAGGCACGTCATAGCCAGAAGATAACAGTGATTCAAATTTTAGACATATAGGGTTCTGTGTGGTTTTTCTGAGGTGCTACCTTTAAATTTTTTTTTTGGTAATGTTATTTAAAATTAATAATAAAAATGAAATACATTTATTATAATAAAATAATAAAATGAGTGTTGTAAACGTGTATTTAAGTATTTAATCATCTGATTTTAATCTGATATTCATCAAATTAAATGGGAGAAGTGATGGATAACCAATTAATTAAAGAAGTAGTAGAAACACTTCCAAATGTTCAACAAAGAATTGATGATACTACTAAACAGTATCAAGAGTATTTAGGAAGTATTAAAAATGAAATATTTGAAATACAAGATAATGAAACATATTCAGAAGCTACTAAAAGAGGAGAAGGAATATTTGACAGAATTGATGAAACAGAAAGAAGAAGAAAAGTAGTAATAGAAAAAGGACAAGAAACAATTAAAACAATAGAAATACTAAAGAATAAAATTGAAAATATAATAGATGGATGTAATAAAGATGAAGAAGCACTAAGTAAAACACGGAATGAACTAATAGACAAAATCATTTTCATAGAAGAAATGAACATGAAAAATAAACTATTCAGAACACCAAAAGAAAGTGATAAAATCACAGAAGAATTTAACAAAAAGAGAGAAGAATGGAACACACATTACAGTGATTATTTTGAGAGGAAGAAGATAAAAGAAGAAGATGAAGAAAGATTAAGAAAAATGAAAGGAATGAACACAATGGAAGAAATGAAACAAATAGAAGAATGGACGTCAAGAAAAGTATCCAATATAATATTTGATTCAGATAATGATAATTGGAGTCAAAATACATCAGTATTTGATCAAAGAATAATAAATAAAGAACATATAATAATTATTATTGAAGATAGAGATGGAAATAAATTTGGAGGATATGTTAATTCTAAAATTGATAAATTTGATGATTATATAAATGATCCAAAACCATTTTTATTTTCATTAAAATCAAAAGGAAGAATAGAAGGAATGATGAAATTTGATATTAGTGATCCACAATATGCATTTTATTTATATAATCAATTAGATGGTTATTTGTTTGGATTTGGATATGGTGATATTCGTGTTTATAAAGAAAATAATAAAACAAATTCATGGTGTTATCAATCCTCATTTTCATATAAAGAAATATCAAATCCACTTTGTGGAAAACAATGTCCAGAATGTTTCACACCAAAACGAATCATTGTAATTGAAATGAAATGATTTTTATTCATTATTATTTATTTGAAAACTAAAAACTAAAAAAGAATATAAAATAAAATCAATAAATGAATATGAACATTTCATCTATCAATGAATGAAATGATGAATATAAAAATGTTCATATTTCATTCTTGGTTTTATTTCATTTGAAATATTCATATTCAATGTGTTAATTTAATAAATAATAAAAAGAAATAAGAATAAAAGATAAATAAAAATATAATAAAATATTTATTTTATTCTTTTTTATTTATTTTTTATTTTATTTATATTATTTTATATTTATTTATTTTATTCTTCTTCTTTTATCTTTATATTTATTATATATTTCTTATTTTATTATTTATGTTATATTCTTATATCATTTTATTCTTCTTTTATATTTATTCATTATTATTCATTTCATATTAACAATGATAAATATCAATACAACATATAATAAATAAATGATATAAGATAAACAACAATAAATAATAATAATAAAATGTAAACAAACAATATAAACAAATATAAAATGATACAAGACCATTT